CGTGACTAGAATATTGCTGTTCTTATTTGCAAGGCGTCGTCTTGGATAGGCCAACTCGCAGGAGTTCGCTTTTCACTTGAGCTTGTTTCGACTAGGTAACACACGTAAAAAAAATTAACATATCTCCATGGTGTTGTCATGACAACTTTGCTGTCAATCATGCCTTGCATTAAAGGCAGTGAAAATTCCGGGTTCGTATATTTAGACGTTGAAGTGCGAGGAAGCAAGCGATATTTTTACGGCTTATGCAAACGTTTTTGTATGTCATGGAAAGACATGCAACATCTGATAAAGGTTAAAGCACCAACATTTAGCTCTGAGACTAGCTATGCTGTGCTCATCAATAGCGGCTGTAAGTAATCGTGAAGTCTAAGCGGAAATACCTCTTCCTACTAGGAAAAATTGCACAGAGGATGACTGTGACAGTAAAATATATATATTTTTTAAAAACGACACCTGGTAGGGCCCAAAAACCACTCACTGGTGTGGCTTCGTGATCTACACAAGAAAGGAACGACTATTCTAGATAGCTACTTCTCACTGCTTAAGTTAAGGACTGCTCGAATTTATCATTGTGGGAGATTGAGCAAAATGGATATCTGAATAGTATGGGTGTTCCTATGGACATATTTGAGCTGCAACATTGTAGCCCCATTATAAAAAATTGCTTGTCGTGATGGGGCTGATGGCAGCCTCACACGTCCTGTCTACGTTCGGCCAAAAACGGGCATGAATCTGACAGCAGGATAGTGTGCCCAAAATGAGCGGGACTAATAAGCCATTACGACAAAGATGCACAAGCTGTTACAGTGAATCTCATCATTCTGACATTGACGGCCTTGAGGAGCTGGTCTAAGCAGAGCAAGTAAAACACGCACCTACTACAATTCTCTCTGAATCGCTACACATGTGTTTTTTTTGCAATCTCGAGCTGCAAGGACCTATTTAATGCAGCCAATGATACAAAAACATATTAACATCAGAACCTCGGCTGAAAAGTTATGGTAAATGCCAAGAAACCGAGTACTTGTTGAACGAGTAAGTTCGTCTCATAGTATCTTATGGAAGGTCACGTGACTACTTCAGCGGCGGTCATTCTGCCTTCGCTGCGCAGAGACTACATTAAATTTGCATAAACGCTGAGAAGGAAATCAGGAATTTGTTTCATTTTCTGAACACCTAATTCATGAAGATGGGAAATCCGTCTGCTGGATTATAAAAACCGAAAGGGAAGTCTTGTCGAAATGTGAGATTACACCATGTGTATAATCTCCTTTCAGGACATCCGGAAATCAGAAGTATGAGTTTGTATTTCAAGTTCCCTTTCAGTTTGTAGACAATTTCCTTTATAGAATGTTCGAATTGTTTGCAAAGAAAAATTGAAAGTCCTGTGATGTGTATTCAAAAATTCCATGGGTGCTATCCGGCAACCTAAAAGTATAAGTGCAATCATTGGGATTTCAAATGAGATTTTCCTGCAATAACAGCACGAGGGGTGCAGCAGACACCAAAGAGGGATGGCTCACGTGCTTTTAAACTTAAATTGTTATTCTTATGTTTGCAGGGAAACTAGAACACGTGGAACGTCGACCCTGGAGTGAAGTATCAGCTCGATCATGCATGCCCGGCAGACGGTATGCTCTGCTTTGTGGTGGGGGCTGGATACTTGAAATGACTGTTCTTGAGAACTTTTTCTTTTCTTTTGCTCTGAAACCAGTCATCTTTTAGCCAAACATTTTATGGCGTTCAACTGATCTCAGAAAAGCGTATGTAAGGTGTTGACTTAAGTTCCCCGAGTTTTTTTTTAGTTTTAGGGGGCCTGTTCTAAAGGAACTAGCCATTAAAAAGTTTAACTCACATCAAATATTCAACCAATTAGCGCCAATTAAATATTTGAATTAGGCTTGTTTACCGAAGGCTTTATTAGAAAGCTTTTCGTTGTTATAGAAGTCACGGTGGATATTTAGACTTAAAGAACTTGAGGACTCCCTACTAAAAACTGGTTACTAAAGGGATTGTAAAGCACGTCAGATGTTCGCCCACTGTTGTCATTATTTGTTTATCATGTTTCAAGATTTCTATCAGAATATTTATGAAAGAAATGTGAGTTATCATTAGGGGCTCATTTTTTATTCAGTCATGTATGCCGAAAGTCAAACTATTTCACATCTGCTTAATGCAACGAAATAGCTTTTTTCAAATTTCCAGTCCAAGAAATATGTTACACAACGCGGTTCTATGAAATATACGTATTTAAACGTGTTTTAAGCAAACATGTTGCCAACAAAAATAAGGGTTTCAAAGTATGGAGTAGAAATTAATATGTGCAAATCGCTCTGAGAGCTCACACTGTCCGCTCTGTTGAAAGCTCTGGGTCATTTTCACAAAATTTTTGGAGGTATACGTAACCGATTGTCTAACAATCCTTTTGTTCCACACCCACTTCTTACTGCGAGCAAGTTTACAATTTTTTAAAACCACTATGATGCCCACAGCAAAAGTCTACGCAGGAGAACATCGGTCTTGACGCAGTTGAGTGGGCCGTTGATTATTCTTCTTCAAAATGTTTTAAAGGTCAACAGGCAGGATGTCGTTTTAAATTTGTTGTTTTGAGGTATCTAACCGTGACTTGTCACGATGTCACTAATCATCTCGGTTCTTAGTTACCGCCGTAACTTGTCAACACAAATTACACCTACGCATTCACGAAAACGCAAAACAATGATGTCCACTTCGCTTTGGTTTCAAAGTATACACGAAAGATAGCGCAAGAGATACTGGAGATTGCCACGTGACCAACCTCACAACAAGACTACAATAGTGGTATTGACTTCCTGACGTTCGTGCAAAACAAGTCGGGTGATATTGTTTGTATCGCCAGAAAATGCTCTTGAATTACCGCAGTTAGTTTATTAGGCAATTAAGCAAATTTAAAACCACAGAAAAACTTTTTGGTACAGCAGATTTAAAGGTCCTAATGGTGATTTGAAAACATTGTTAAGTGACGTTTGTCTCTTTAAAAAGTGGTATCTCTTTGGATACACTTGAAAGAACTAAAGGCATTTTTGCAACTTTGGACCTATGTACTAAATGTCTGCGATTCTTAACCTCCTCAAATGGAAGTTTGATCGAAAGAAAAGGCTCTTAAGACCATATACGATGATAAGTTGTCCAAGAAAGAAAATAAGACTACAGCATATTTTTAAAGACCGTGGGAATCTGTCGTGTTTACAACAGGAACCATTAAATGCCCTTCAGCTAATCACCTGGATGTTAATAAAACGTTACCGAGCGATCAATTATTTGGCAGTCTCCCGATGAGGCAAGTATTCCATAAAGAGGACTTTAATAACAGATCACACTTTCTCACTACAAAACTTTCTGTTTTCGACAAAACAGCCTGGACCATGTTTTAGTAGTGGTTAAAAAAACTCAAACCAACACACATGGTGTATGATTTAGTCTACAAATTTATCTTCAAAACAGTTGACCCGCGCATAAAATATCCCACTTCTTTCAGTGGTTTGCACTGTAAATGTCCTTGATAATCATTACACTGACGACCTTCGGCAAGCATGCAGGCTGCCCGGAATTCTTAATGCGCAGTCTTAACGATCGCAATATAAAATGAGCGAGTAAATTGGCAGGGCTTCAATTTATAACTTTCCAGCATAGACGGATATTTTTGAAGAGGTTTGTAATGTTTGTATTTATGGAAATTCGATCGGTTTGGTCTCATGTTCAGGGCCAAAGTGCGGCTGAAGATACGTAAGCGCTGTCGTACACACATCAATGAAGACACATTATGACGTTTGCAGCTTCCTTATCGAAACGAAGCTAAACAGAGGAAATGTTTAAAAAAAAGCGCCTGCTGGTTTTGTGGTCATGCTGGTGATAAATTAACCGAGGCAATTTAAACTTAGTAATTGCTAACCGAAAAAACACACGAAATTTTGTGCCTTGCTGTTCATTCGATCGAAATGTTTCGTACTACACAACACCAAACCACTTTTGGCGGGAGTTTCTCTGTCGCCCACACACCAGCATATTTGACGTCATTCATGACGACAAGAAACCGTTCTAAAACGTCTCAACAAAATTTCGTCTGCAAACCGTATAACAAGAAAATCGGAAGTTTACAAAACCGCTGAAACTCTTTTCAACGAAACTGTGTCGCAAAATACCAGTCATGCAAAGTAACTTACGTACGTTTGAAGCATGATTTGAAGCAGATTGTCACCACATTCCACCAGATGAAGTGAAGCGTTACCTCAAAAACACGCCATATTCTTCCAATCCAAAGAAAAGACATGGAGACAATGAATTTTTTCCTGTCTTATGAACATTCTGATGAACGAAACGTGGCAGATAGAACGAAAAACATTTGGTACTAACGCATTAAATGCAGACAAGTGTGCATTGTGTAATATTCCAGGGGGGTTAAATTCTTGCCTAACTATGCAGGCTTGAGCGAGCTGTCTTCACAAATACATATGATCCGATTAAGCAGCACCGCGCGTGCAAAAGTGAAATGTTTAAGCTTCATAAATTTGACAGGAGTCATGTGTTTGATAGAGATCTAAAAAGATTTAGAACACAGATTTGTAGAGGGTACGACAATATTGTCCTATCTGGCGTGACAACATGACAACCTACATGAGAGGCAACTCACGTACGCCACCGAAACAGAGTCCCATCATAATTTTAACTATCGTCTTACACTATAAAGAAGTTCTAGTCTGCAATATCATAAGCAGTTTGAGACATCTCTTTAGCAAAGAGTCAATACACCTTTCTAATTGCGGTAACACTATCACTGAAACGAAGGTGTAGATTTTAAAAGGGATTTTTTTTGCCCTCCTTCTTTGTGACGTCAGAGCCCATTGTATCGAAGAACACCACCGGATGTCATAACAACCATTGGCCTGTCATTCAAACCATATTTTAATCACAAATGAATGAACTGTTTTTAAACGAGGATATCAAATGGGCTTAATTACAACGTGCTTGCACTGGGCAAGACATCACACGATTTAACTCCAAGAGAAAGTGAATTGTGACACCGGGCGCTCGGAGACGACGAAAACCAGGCTTTGAACGGTAACCAGTCCGGCAGAATTATTTCATATTCACAAAGCCACAAAGCTCCAAAACGCAAGTATTTAAGAACTCAGACCTCAGACATAAAGCGAAGACCACTCTTAAGTCTCATCGTCAAAGAACGATAGCAATCCGCACGGTAAGTGTCATGCGCACAACAATTTCGGGCCGTGGTACAAAAGAAGATTGGATTAGGGTGAAAAGTTATTTGCGTACTTTCCTTGTAGAATTTTTTTACATAGAAGAAAAAAAGTTTTCTGTCGCTATGCTGTTTTCGACGTCTTAGGAACAAATCAAAAACCTTTAACTTGTGCTTGTAAGGCAAGAATGAGTGAGCTACGATTGTCGTCTCTTTTTAAACATGTAACTTAGACAAACAAGATCTTGTTTTTATGCTGGTTTTTTTTGTTTTGCTTAATTTTTCAAAAAAAAAAACAACAAGATCGTGCTCGTGGACATTACCATTTGTGGACGTGAAAGTTTTGTCGTATTGTGCTCGAGATCGTTGGTGTTTTAATTAAGTCGCCAGAACTCTGGAAGGTGTCTTCTTTGAGTTAATCACGCGTGACCAGAACTAATCGCGCGCGAGCACCGCGCACCTTAACAATTAGCATTCGTTCGGCTCCTGAATGAATTTGCAATTAAAAACTGGTTCAGTGGCGACTGTTGCCACAAGTTACCAGCCACTTAAAACAACTATTTAGACGCGTTGCTATCCTTTAATTTTAAGGGATACAGATTTCCCAGAGCAAGTAAATTGAGTACATATTCCGTAACATTTTACTTTATCATAAGACTTACTTTTATGGTATTACCGGTCGGATACAGCTCTTTTCAGTAATATAACACTCCTAGCTCCAGTATAACATGCGCAGTGTGGCTTTATTCGTGTGACTTCTTGGCCTAAATAACCTTAGACAACCTGTAGCAGAATGGGCCGGTAAAAGTTCCTAGTTTTCCTAGAAAGGGTTTCGCCGGAAACGCTTCCGGTAGAAGTCACGTCTAACGACTTCCATCGCGCAAGTTGACGTTTTTCCCGGAGACTGAAGCGAATGTTGTTAAAGCCAGTAAAAAAAACATATAAATAGTCTCAGCATGTTCCAATGTTCTATTTCAAACACTGGCACCTACTTATTTGTTATCAAAAAAACCTATATACAGGCCTTGGGTAAGTCACACGAAATTAACCCACGAGTAACGCAATGAATGACTAGCGCACTCGGTTCCGCTAGTTTATAAAAAGATCAGATCTGAACGGTTTTGAGTCCAAAATAAAATTTTCGCTTTATTTTCATTGTAGAAAATGGTCCAGGATAATAGCGTTCCTTCCAGTCCAGTAGACGTGGCTTTTGAGGAACTCTTTGAAGGTAAGAAAAAATACTTAGTCCAAGTGAGCACCTGTTTGCTGGGGCATAAAATTATGCTCCTAACAAGCATAAATTATCATACTCGGGTATATTTTTGTGCTACGTGGGCCTGAATAATTTGAAGACCTGTCACGCGACATGAGCTGGTCGCTTTTGTCAACAGATTATTTCAATTGTGCGGTCATGCTAACGTAGGAAACAACTCCTAAAGTGAAACTACTCGATCATAATTTTACTACCTTTAAGAAGCAATTGGAGTGCTACAGTCCTTTCAAGAAATGTGCTGAAACATAACTCTAACACCGTTTGTATTGGCTTAAGTAAATTTATAAATAGATCCAAGTCATCCTGTTTACGTCAATGGTCACACACCTCGCTCAGTGATTGGCTAAACCTGGAACGCACGTGAGGAGGTGTGCGTCATGAAGAAGGCGAATAACGTAATTTGTAGTACTTAGAATCCCCGAAAGGATGTTGAAAAAACCGATCATTATACTCGATCGGTCATTCTTAACGCATCTAGCGAGCGACAAGAACCTTAACCTCACGCAATTGTGAAAAAACCAAAAACACTTTGCGGTTCAGCCCACGGGTAGGTGTCACAAATATGCATGCAATTTAATCGGGTATAGTAATTGAAGGCGAATTTTATTCATGACAATACTTTTACGGGAGCTGCTATTTCATCGATAATGTTGTAGTTGAAGAACACCGACTGCGTAGCTTGATCCTCGTGGTTATACACAGTACGTCAGACTTAATCAAGCTTCCACGCCTACACGTCGCACCAGCCATTCACAGGCCTCGCTTGATATTAAAGATTGACAGTTGAACAAGTACAAGTGCTTCTCTAACGAGTCTCCCTTTCATTTCTTCTACAGTTATTCCAGAGTTAAAGATGTTCACCCCGGCACAAGTCGTACCAGGTATTTTGTTTTTTCCTCGGTTGCTTGATAACGTTTTTAAAGCGTAGTTCAGCTAACTTATAAGTTTGCGCTAACGGGGAGACTTAACCATTTCTCACGCGTGGGAGGTCATACAAGGATAGCTAATCCTGTGTTATTATCGGCGCGCCAAAATTTAACAAGTCCCCATTTTATGTTTAAATTCTTAATTTTCTCAGAGTCACTATTGAGAAGAAAAAATTTCAAACCCCCGACTCAGCCCAAGCTAACGATGAAATAATATCTGTAAACACAGAAATATCAACGTGCTTTGAATATTAAACCACTTGGCCAAAACAGCGGAAGTTGAACGCGGCTGATCGAGTCGACCGAACCGCGTTAGCCACGCAAACGTCGACGGTACACTCACCAACGGGAAAAAATTCTAAAATAACCATCAAGGACAAGGCAATATTTTCGGCTACGCTACATAATTCCTCTGAAAATAAGATGATGAGGGAAAGACCAGCAAGAAAGAGTTCTACACGTGATGTACTTAGATCGTTGCAATGTCATTGAGCGAAAAAACAGCAACGTTAGCAAACTACTTCGGGAAATTGCGGTTTGTAAATTCAACCTTAGATTTTTCTGTTCGTGTTTCCTCAGGATAGTTGTGGTTAGCCAACGACACGATCCCGCTCAAAGAGTTATTTCTAGAGCTATTCCTTAAAGATATACTTTCACTTTCCATTGAGATTAAGTCCTCTTTTTTTAATTTCAGGCGCTGATAACGCGGAGCAAGATGGGCTTATGACTGGGTCTCTGGGCCTCGAAGAAGGTAATAATTTACATATTACCTTAGAGAGCCAAACACCTGTACCTGAAAAATGTAGAAAAGGAAAATTTAAAACTTGATAATAATCACTTGCGTCTCAGAAACCAAGCAACGTGAATAAATCGAGGCAACGTGCCAAGTACATAGAAAAAGGCAAATTGATGATAAGTGTTCAGACAACAAAGAGGAACCAGTTGAATTTGGTGTTGGTTTATTTCTCTAACTCTTACCTTCCTTGTTCTTCATCTAGCCCGGATGTACAAGAGTGAGCCAGATCTGCGAATTAAGAGCGAGCCATCAGCCTTTAGCGAGGTAACCAACTACTGGCTTCAATGCAGCATGCAGCTGGGCGACACGCAATACCAGACACACGCGCGTGATCCTTTCCTATGCGCGCGTGATCCCTTCGCCAGCTTTCATGAGCAGATGGATAACTTGGAGTGGCGGCCGCCGGTACTTCAAGCCATGGCTCTGTGCAAGCAAGAATCTGCCTCTGAAGTAGACGAGATGTTGATAAGTCAGACGCAGAACGCTTGTCAGCTTGGAGCAAGAAAAGAAACATCTGAAAGTCAATGCAAAGTATTCATGCCTTCGTACTGGGACCAACAGTTTGTGAATGACTGTGAACCATGGTACGATCATCTAGAGAATCCTCGCGGTAAACCTTTCGTCGGCGGACCTAGGAACGGCATCTTCAAGAGCGAAAACGCAAACAGCTTTTTCAAAGAAGAAGATCCTACGAAAGACGAAACTGACATGGTGCAGGACCGAGACTCCGAAAGCCCCGCGAGTTTCACGAGCGTGGATAGTCCTCCAGAGTTTCCGTGGAACACACGAACCATCCCCGGTTCCAGAACGAGTGATATAAGCGCATTTAGTTCAACAGAACAGAAGTTTGTGATGCACAAAAACCACAAAACAACCTTTAAGTCCGGTCGCCCTCGATTGTGTCAATTCTTGCTCGAGCTCCTTAACCACCCAGATAAATATGGCTACATGATCGACTGGATCGACAAAGAGAAAGGCGTGTTTAAGTTCATCAACTCCAGCGAAGTAGCGCGCTTGTGGGGAAATCGTCGTAATAAGCCCTCCATGAAGTACGAGAACTTTGCTCGCTCCTTGCGCACCTACATTGCTAAAGGAATACTTGCAAAGCCTCGCAGCAAACTGGTCTACCAATTCGCCAGAGTAAAAAGTTGAAGCTCTTTACAACAACCACAATACTACCATACTCGACCCCAACCTCCGACACAGAAAGAACACTAGAATCGCCTTAAAGATGAGACCAGAAGGAAGAAAATCCCAGATGTTGTTGCTTAAGGCACTACAGTGTTCGGAATGGGTTCGCCACTAGGCGGAAAAGGAAAGACGCCGAAGAACGAGACATCAAGTCATAAGGACTCGACTTGAGTTTATACCACGAGACTGAGTTTATACCACGAAGAAAAAAGATATTTAATTAGATATTACGTACGATATCCAATCGAATTAGGCGCAGTCGAACCTTCTGAACAACGTAGAATTTGAAGCAAGAATAACCTAAAAAGACAGTATTTTTTATTCTAACAAAGTTAAATTGCAAGTTAAATAATAATTAGAGTTTCCCTTTCCTCTGTCCTTTTACTTTACTGCCAAAGTGTTCGATTCCGAGGCCATATGGCGTTCTCTTATAATATAATTGATTTTTAGATGACATTGCAAAAAGTTAGATGATGCTATTTTGATCCCTCCCCCGAAAAAAAAAAGAATAAAACAATGACTTTTCTCACTTGGCTACGGTCACCCCTGACTCTAAAAACATATAAGAAAAAGGAGAGTATGCTCTTAAGAATAACTTCTCCATACTGTGCTTGCCTTGCAGAGACGTCAAGCGAATAGTATTTACTATGTAAAGATACAGGCCACATAACTTTTATCGTGATTCTGACTGTGTCAGACGTCGCTGGGTGATGAAATTTTTAAAAGCATGATTTCAAAAAAACAAAAACAGAGGCTTTCTTATCGTTCTTAAAACTTTTCGTACACAAGCGTCAATTTCTTGAAAGGTGTGTGATTTTCAAGATGCAAAAAATTTTAATCGTAATCATAGTCAAGGATCGAGCAATTTGCGCCAAAAGATATTGACAAGCATAGTTTATATGACGTTTTATAGAGTAATATTTAAATTTTATGAATTTAAGGCTTAAATTTATGATTTGTAGAAAACCGGGAAACTATACCCAATAAAAGAAGTGGTGAAGAAAATTTGTGAAGTGCGTGTTTTAGCTTAGACACTACGCGAATAACAAAGAGAAGTACATTTTTCAGGTCACGTATCGCGATAAAAACATGATACAGTGTCGTTTGTTTTTATATGAACCTCTTCGAAATCTTCACCCCGAATGCCAATTAATTGCAGCAAATCCAAAGATGTTGCCTGAAACGAATTCTTTGTGTAAAGGAAAAGAATATTAACGTAAAAAATTCTTTAAGAAGAAGAAGACGGTTATTTCGCTTCGTTCAGTGGCAGAGAAATTCTGAGAACTTCCAAGAGTTCTAAGAAAGATAGCGGTGAATTCTAAGAATTGCAGCTGCATGACAATTCTCATTATGCTCCCTAGACTTGCTACTGTGGTGACACATTTCTTCGTAACAAAAATGAACTTCTGATGAGCTGATCAAAGGTATACTGTTACAAAGAAAACTTTCAGTTTCTGAACGACAAATTTAACATAATAATTTTTCCTACCGTGTAAAACTACTTGTTTGCGTCGATGACAGACAAGCGAGTTCCCTGACCCAAGGATATGAACAACGTAGATCATTTTAATCCAGACCGTGAAGGTGCCACCGGTTACTATACTGGTTTCGATTAATTTTCGCACCTTACAAGAGAAATCCTTAAACATTGTGAGAAAGGAAAACTCAGGGAATAATGATAGTAAAAAAAAAAAAAAAGAGGATAATAAAGGATGACGAAGAGTAATACCGATTGCGAACAACATACTTTACAATTTCCTTTTGACTTTGGAATATACACAATCCGTTACTTAGCGGCTTTGAGTTCGTGAGCTTCCTTTCAAGTAAATTAATCCTCTCATCTTCAGCTATACTTGCCGCCAGCTCTATAGACATAAACACAGCAACAAAGAGAGCCTTTTGTGTTGTGTTACTGTTTCCATATGCGTGGGAACCCAAAACGTTGTGGTGAACTGTTCTTCCCGAAAAAGCGTCGATGACTGTCCAAATGCAAGTTCGTTTCATTAAAACTGTAGATTGCCAACAGGGCACAACAATTTTTCCATAGATGCGACGCTTATAGTCTAAAATGAGCCTTTTCATGGTTATAACGAAACATATCCAATATTCTCCAACTACAGAGGAAAAACTTCTCGCAACTCGTCTCTCGCGTCGCACTCGCACACGCGATGAAAGCGTATCTTGCGTGGACGACACGCAACACCGGAAGACTTAAGCTACCTGTTCACGCCCACTATATTCATATGCAGTTAATTTTCGTTTGCTATAAAAAACAATAGGGGCCCTTGAATTGAGCATATTCAATAATATAAGACCATTTCGTATTTCCTATTTCTCTTTATAGTCCGGATGTGACGTCAATGGTGGATCCGGTGCTTATTATGTGCGCTCTATGAACCAACAGAGGAAGTAAATGCTTCGAACGCTTTCAAATACAGGTTTAGTCCTGCCTTTTTTAATATCTTGACCTGTCGCAGCGTTTCCAATCGGAAATATCCAATTGATATTAAAAATATTGCCTGTCTAAACCCGCTGAAGATGTTTAGTTTTCCCTAAAGGGGCTCATGAACAATACAGACGTAAATAAGATATAAACATACAAAAGTTATTACCTACGATACACCAGTAAAAATACTGCAAATATGGCACTAAGTGTTTGCCTTCGAGTGATTAAGTATGAGACTAGGGTATTTAAGCATTCCGAAAAATTGTGCCGTGTGTCACGATCAAAACACTGATAGAGTAGATATTTTAATATTCCGGACTACGAAGCAAGAATCAGCGAGAGCACAAATTTTCTTGGAGAAATAGAAAAACTAAACTTAACGATTAAATACTACTAGCCAAGACATTAAGCCTCAATTGGCATAAAAAAAAATACGACATTTTATTGACAAGTGAGAAAAGGTAAATATATTGTGGAAGTTGTCTCTAGGTAACAAATAGCACTCTGGACGAAAACGTTCGTGAATGTTAAATATCGTATAAACAACTTGCGGTCAATTATTCAACTGTCATCGAATAGAGAAAGTAATACAGACGTCGCTGTTCCACAACGAGAATAAGACAAACAAAAGAAAAAGTAGTAGATGGAAGACTTAGAAGGAGCAAAACGCGCTAAAAACAAGAGAAATGAATTATTTGATAAAATCGCGTTACTCCGAGAGTGAAGTCGTCTCCCGCCAGTGTTCAACAAGGGTCCGCGTGCCGAAGAAATTTACGTGCACAACCTCTTTTAAACTGCGTCCCTTCCCTAGCAGGTGTTGGTGGCCGACTTAATAAACAAAGCAGCATAGCGTTTTAAGTTGACCTTGTCGGAAATGTGAATCATTAATTAACAAGCACAAGTACAAGCCTATGACACCCTGTCGAAACCGTATGTATACTTCTCAAAATTCAAAGCTTCCGTTTTGCATCCCCTGGCAACATGACAACTACAAACCTCTTTTTAGCTCAGGTAATGAAAGGCTATATTTCATTCTTCATTTGTTATCTACTACAAAGGTCAGACACCAACGACCTTGCAATAAGCGTGATCTAAAAACAGCACAAGGAGTGGTTCCAAGACGGGAATTATTTCATGGCTAAAGCATGTTGTTCCTGTTTACAAGCGTTGAATTATCATAACATCGTCATTCAAAGAACTCGGTTTTATCTGCGCCAAGCAGGTGTTCGAGCGACAAGGAGGTTGTTTTGTTTGAAAAAAGAACATTTTTGACATAACTTTTCGATAACCAAGCGACCAAAGTTATACTAATCCCTGTCATGGCGGTGCAGGATTAGAGAAAGTTTGCATAAGCAGCGTTATTACGAGGTGATGTTGAAAATCATTTTGGTTCCACCTCTAGGACAAATATCACTTTTTCGGGGCACTTTGAAGTGAGCTTGTTTTACTAGCCTCACGGGAAGAAGTCTAACACGTGGTTTGTTCAGCAGAATCAGTACAATACCTGAGATAAGCATGCTATTTTCCTGAGTTTTGTGCAAATTTTTACTTTTGAATTTAAATTAATAAAACGTCATAATATATCAAATTTGGTTTTCGTTCATTTACTGGTACCTGCTTCAACAAAAAAAAAAAACAAAGCTAGAACGGTGTGATGATTGAGAGAGTTGTATTACGATGAAGGCCCACATGTGACGCTCAGTCTTCGTAACACATTAAGTAAATTGTTTTAATTTGGCTTAAGTAAAATTTAGCGCCTTATAAGGTCACTGAGTGTGTAACGTGCGAAGAACACTCACAAAAGATGAAATTTGCCCGGTTATGGACATGAGAGCAATGATTTTTCTTGTGATTTTTACAAGGGTTAGTTTTTTACCCCAGAAATTTCATCCATTGAATAAGCCAGAGAAGACTGTGTTAGGACTCATCCGGTTACTTATCATCTCCTGCACGTCAAACATGAGCAGTTAAGCTACACAAATCTGCCAACACTTAAAACATAAATTTACTCACTTAAACATAAAGTTCAGAGACGATGCTCCAAGGTTAGCTTTACAAAAATATTGAACGAGCTGCCACATTACGAATAAATCAGACAAGTCAACCGTTCGAAGTGCAAATCATTTAATCTATTTCATGACTTAAGCCACTGCAACTGCAATGCAACTCAACCGAATTAAGTAGGATTTGTATTTTCCGTCGCGAGGGGTGGATACCGTGTGAAAATTATTTTTTAAGACTTACATTCGTAAATAATCCTTTAATGGAATTACACATAGCATCACGGACTGCTATCATCAACTTGAGATGACAATTCACCAGGAGATCACGTTTAGGTAAATCGTTATGCTCGCAGGTGCTAAACTCAACCGAAGTTGAATACATTTCCTATCAGGTGCAAATTGTTTTTGGACTGTCAATCCAAAAAGATTAATGGAGTTAAAAACGCCATCACGTACGCTGGCAATTGACAATCATGTCAGTCTACAAAACAGGGTTTGCAGACGTTAACCATGCAGTTATTTAATGCTGACATATACTGAGTCAAAAAATTCCAACTCAACGTGACCTAAATGAAAGATAAAAAATCCTTATTAACTTATGTTAGAAACTCCGGTTCGTGAAAGACAATCTTACCTTTTGACTAAATGTAAAGACTCTGCGAGTCTGATATGTCTGAGGTCCTATCAGTTCTACGAGTCGAGTAAATTGCATTATAAGTCAATTGAAACTGAGGGAGCAGTTCCAATTTAATGTCATAACAGATGATCGATCTGCAACAGTGACTCTTGGTCATTTTACAGCATCTGTGTTAAAGATACCGCTTCTTTCTGTTTCGATGTAACAATAAGACGAAGAATCTAGAGCGCATCAGTGTCTCATTGTGGTCAAGATCCTTTGTTATTTTTCATTAAAGGTATCATAGAGAAAGAGCCATTAAAACGTACTAGACGAAGCTTCTTCTGTGCGGAATTTTAATATTTATAGTCATAATTCTGCAACTTTCGTGAAAGCGTTTCTTTTATCTATACGCTAGCCACTGCCCATCGTAGTTTTCCGCAAAGTTGTGC